GCTGTTTTTGCCTTTCATAGTCCCAAGAATCCGACTTCTGTTTCCCTAACGTGGCTTAGCAGACCATGTTTTAAGTTAGGCAGTCTCCGGGCAGCCTGTCCCCTGGCGCTGGGTCCTTGCACGGAGTCGTGAGACGACGGCCTGGGAGGTGGGGTCCTTCTCTGGGGCGGTCGCTTAGGTAGTGGCTGTGGGAAGCCGGGCTCCAGGCATCATGTACTACAAGTTTAGTGGGTTCACGCAGAAGTTGGCGGGAGCATGGGCTTCGGACGCCTATAGTCCGCAGGTACGGGTCACGCCACGCTGGTTCGGACAGGAACCGCGTCTTAAGCCTCGTCGCCAGGCAGTTCTGGGATTAGATCTTGGAGTGGTTCTCTTCGCGGTTCGGTTCGATTTGTCCCGCTCCTTCGGCGCTTGGCCCCTTGAGTTCACCGTGGCCTTTGAGCCCCTCTTTACGTGGCCGCTCTTCTGGGAGTACTGGCCTACCGCGGTAGTTTGTCACTCTGCAGAGGTCAAGGTGACCCCCGCTGTCGTTGCTTGTTTCAAGAGGGATAGCCGTGGCCGTGTTTGTGGCTCACCTGAGTCCAGAGTTCGGGCCTTTCGCTCTTTGAGGAGAGAAAGAAGATTCTCTGACTTCCCTTTGTCACCCCCTGCCACAGCCGAAAGGCAGACTCACCCAAGCACGAAGCTGGAGAGCAGGCAGACGGCACCCAAGGGAGCCATGGAGTGGGCGGGAATGAATGATTTGGATTGGGAGATTTAACGGGTTCTTTCAAATGTCTGGTGGGGAAGGACTGGTAAATCACGTAGGACAGGGTTACACCTTACCACTGTAAAGTGCACCGATGTTATTTGGGCATTTTAAACGTATTTTCATTCCAGATGCTGCCGGTTGGCGTTTCAGTCTCCAGCCTCAGTGGTGTAAAAATGAAGGATTTTAGAGTCCCAGACAGATTTGGGCTCAAATCCTGGCTTTTACCACTTTTGCTGTATGAACTAGTTTGTTGTGAGTTCAGATTCATCCGTGTCGCTTTAATACAGGAGTTGCCAAGGGACTAGCAGTTTTGGCTGTGGTCAGTTCTGGGTAAGTGGTAACGTTTCCCCCCGGAAGCTGAGTGAGCTGACGTCAGTTCCTCATTTTCATTGAGCAGAGGGGGAAGGATTGATGAGATAGGCAGTTGGAAAACTTGACTGGAATAGTAAGGGCCGCGGGAGTGGAAAGGGTAGCTTATTATCGTTACTACTTCCTCCTTTTACTGTTGAACACTGCAGTTTGCCCAGCGGGAGGATGTTTAGGAGCGATTCAGTCTAGTAGAGTGGCTCTGTTTACGAGAGTGAAGAGATCAAAAAGAGCAAGCTTTTTTTTTGTGGAATGAAGATTGGGAGAAAGAATTTAAAGATAATGGCAGCTAAGCCTCATGATAATATATCATGTCTGGTGGCACCTGGATTTATGAATATGGAGTTTAATAGAACTGGGTGTCTTTAGGATATAAGTGGTAATGGAATTCGTGGTGGGGTCACAGGGAGGGTGGTGATGGTGGTGTATGTGTGTTCTCTACTAAAGAACTTCATATTTATGGAAAAGTGGAATTAAAGTATGAATTTATTTTGATGCAAAAAAATTTGAAATTCAGGCGTGGTTTATTTTCTTCTTCTTTAGAGAGGCTTTGCTATAGAGTACGTGCACTCACTGGAGAGACAGAGACAGAAAGTGAGAAATCATCCCCCAGAGGTTATGGCCATGCCTCAATCCCTTCTCTTCCAGTCTCCCCTTGGGATTTTGGGCACTTGTGCACACACGCACTCTGTATGAGTTTTAAGCCACCAAGTCCTGAACTCTACTGGGGTCAACTGCGTAGGAGTCCAGTGAATAACCATTAGACTGTCTGCTGGTCCCCGGGTGTGGTTTATTTTCAAAATACATATTTTCCGTGAACTTTTTGAAGCCCTGTAATATAGGGAAGAAAGCTGAAACCGTAACTATTGTAGATTATAGAAACACAAAGGGAAGATGAAGTAGAAATATTGGTTAAATGAGCAGTCTGGAATGAAGCAGGCCAGTTTAAGGTTTAACAGGACTGTAGCCATTTTGAAATTAAGGCAGGCCTCTCAGTGAGAACAGTCTGACCTAATGGTGAGTGGTAGGGAGGTCTGTTTCATGTGTGGTCAGATTAGAAACCAGAAATGGTTTTCTGAAGAATTATTTATTTTATTTATTTTTTGATATTTTTAATTTGACCAGAGAGAGAGGAGACAGAGAGGGAAAATGAGAAAGCAAGCCACCAGCTTCAGGACTCGAACCATGGTCAGCCATGTGGGATTCCAGCCACCTGCTGGCTCCCGAAATGGATATTTGAAGGAATTAGGATAAATAATCAGGGGAAAGCAATTGACCCTGATTGTACTCAGGAATGATTTGCATAGTACTTTTATCTTGTATCTGTAAATTCTAAGAACATGGTTGAGCTTTCTGAAACAAGTTTGGTGGTGCTTGCTATCTCCTTGTAACAGAAATAAACTCCCTTCTCCAGCCTCTGCCTCTTTCATTGACTGAGAGAGGCAGCAGCCAGACTTAGTTGGCCTGTGACAGGATTAGAAAAGAAATCACTGTGCTATCAATGAAACTGCTTTTTTAAAATTTAAATTATTTACTTACTTATTTTAATTTGACCAGAGAGGGACAGAGGAGAGGAAAGGAGAGAGAGGGAAAGCGAGAAAGCAAGCCACCAGATCCAGGACTCTTAACTGTGTTCTGCCATGTGGGAGTACAGTGCCCTTTACTACCATGCTGCCTGCTGGCCCCTCAGTGAAACTAAATTAATAATGAGTTATGATGGAGCCAGCAGGTGGCATGGTGGTTAAGGCACTGGACACTCCCCCATGGCCATCCTGGACCTAGTGGCTTGCTTTCTCACTTTCCTTCTGTGTCTCTGTCTGTGTCTCTCTCTGTTCTAATTTGAAATAAATAAATGAATAAATAAAGTAAAATAAAAAAATTATTTAACAAATGAGCTATAAGGAAGGAATTGTCAGTAGTAGTGTGATTTAAAAAAAAAATTATGTGGGAAAATGGCCATTTCTGCCGCGCAACAGACGACTCCGGAGACGGTCTTCTCTTCAGCACTTTATTTCCCCAGGCTCTGAATACAGAAGTTCTTCCCCCTTTCCCTTTCCCCGGGGCCTTATAAAGGGCCCCTAGCCAATCAGATCATTGTCCACGTGCACGGAAGCCAGTCCTCGAAA